GCGCGAGCTTGCTCCCTGGTGGGCACTTGCTTGCTTCCCCCAAATTTGCACCCTTGCTAGAGCTCCAACACTTAATGGCGCCCCAGCGTAGGATCTGGGAGTGATCTGGGCCCTCCTTGTACAAACGTCCTGGGGAACTTTGGAGTGGAGAGGGGCTGTTAGGGGGCCCCTTTTTATTTTAGTCTATTTTTATTATTATTGGTGTGTGTGACAGTACTGAGGTTTGAATTCCGAGCCTGGGCCTTGTCCCAGAGCTTTTTCCGCTCAAGGCTGGTGCTCTACCATTTGAGCCACATCTTTACCTCCAGCTTTTTTGCTGGTCAATCATCCTTCCAGGGCTGGTTTCGAACTGCTGTCGCATCTCATCCACCTGAGTAGCTAGGATTGTAGGCTTGAGCCACTGGTGCCCTGCTCAGGATGCCCTGTAAATGAGGGAAGGGTACTGACCCTTCCTTTCGGTGGGAGGGTGAGCTCAGCTTTGGAGCCTTCTACTGTTGGTTAGGGGTACAACGTGGCTACTGTGTCAGTTACAGCTTGGCTGAGTTGCTCTCAGCTAGATGGAAACCGCACTGTCCATTGCTTGTGCATTCTGAATGCCCTTTCTAGTCAGTTCTAGCCTTCTGGGCCTTGGACCTCTTGAGTATATGCATAGCTTGAAACCCCAGGGAACACAGCAAGTGGTTATTAACACATACATGCGTTTGAATTGAGTAAGTATGCAAGTGATAGATTAACACAGAAATACTCAACTCATGCTGAAAATATACTTGTCTGTTTTTAAAATATCAGTCATACTTTCCTGCACCACTGGCAGCACCATAAACCATGTTGAATTTGTATTTATCACAGCTTCATAAAAAAGAAGAGTCTGAAATCTAAGGACCACAGGTTGAAGCCAGCCTGGTAAAAAAATTTGATACTCTTTATTTCCAATTAAGCACCAAAAAAAGCTGGAAGTGGATCTGTGACTCAACTGGTAAAGGACTGCCCTTGAGCGAAAAGGCCAACTAAGAGCATGAGGCCCTGAGTTCAAGCCCCCAATATCAGTAGAATAGAATAAACAGAATAAAACAAATAAGTGGATTTCCCCTGAATTTTGCTCCTTGACCAAAGTCTGTTTTTGCCTATCCAAAGCTTCAAGGTAGAGTGAAAATAGGCAATTATTCTGGACACCAGGCTTCCATAACACTGAAATGGAAAGTTGGCTTTGAAATTGTTATCTAATCGCTCTCATTTTGAATTACATTTCAGAAGGGAAGCTGTTGAGTAGTGATGTGACTCATTATGTAATCCCAGACTGGAAAGTTGTTCAAGATTACCTTGAGATCCTAGAGTTTCTGGAGTTGAAGGGAATTATCTTCATGCAAACAGCTTGTCAAGCTGTGCAACATCAAAGGGGCCGGAGGTATGTGTTTTGCTTTATTTATTAATTTATTTATTATTTATGTCGGTCATGGGGCTTGAACTCAGGGCCTGGGTACAGTCTCTGAGCCTATTTTATGCTCAAGGCTAGCGCTCCACCACATGAACCACACAGCACCACCTCCAGTTTTTGAGTGGGTAATTGAAGAATCTCATGGGAACTTTTCTGCCCTGGCTGGCTTCCAACCACAATCCTCAGATCTCAGCCTCCTGAGTAGGTAGGATTACAGGCATGAGCCACCAGTACCCAGCTGCATTCTTTATTTATAATACACTTTTTCCCCTCTTTAGAGAAGATCCATTGTTGGAGGAGGGGAGGGAAGGCATTCATTTCTCCTAAAGGATTTTAGAAACTACTTTAGTATTCTCTTTGCTAGTGAGGAATGCAGTAGCATTTTATACTTGTGCTTCAACATCTGGCCAACAGAGCTGACTGTAGATCAATAGACTGCATTGTGTCCTCTATGTAGATATTTAGACGCTAGTGTGAGTTGCCTTTTGATTTGCATTTTTATGGGAGAAGGGATATTGCTTTCAATTTTGTTTTTGCTTTTGCTGATAATGTGTATTATTTAATCTTTTTAATTGTAGATAGGTTGTTTCAGAATATACCTTCTGTTCTTGGGGGAAAAAATACTTTTAAATCTTAGGTTCCTCTATTGTGAATGCATAATGTATATCTAAAGGTTGATTCAATGAAATTGGAAATAACTTACTTTGCTTTTTTTAGGTGACTAGTAGAATTACTAGCATAGTAAAACATTTCTAATCGAACCAGTTGAAAATACTTACCTTGTACTTAAGTGAAGGATGGCCACCACGCTTTTATATAAATACTCTACAGTTTTGCTTCACTTAATATTAGCAAAGGTTTTGTGATTTTTGCACTTAAAACTGTTTGGAAATAGCATTTTAGAATTTTATATGTGTGTGTGTGTGTGTGTACATATACATATATATACATATGTATGTGTGTGTGTACATATACATATATATACATATGTATGTATATATACACATATATATATACATCCCAGGTTAAGTGTTATGATTTCCTCAAGACCTTGGTAGCAACAAAGTGTTTTTATTTGTATATGAAAATGACAAAATGTCCTTATGATACACTCAGTTCAAAGAAATGTACATTAACTGGATTGCATATAGGTTTTTTTTTTCAGATAGAATATTTTAAAATGAGCTTGCAGTTGATTTTTCTCAGACACAAAGATATAGATGCTTGCCCCTCTCTGCAGTAAAATGTTGCTCTCGGTGTTGTAGTATTTCAATTTCTGCTCCTGAAAATCAATTCATTATCATCTTTTGGATTGCTGCTGGTATAGCCTTTTCAACTTCTGTTTTCTAAAGTATTTTTAATGCAAAGGATTGTTTGAAAAAAATTCCTGACACATTCAAAAGGCAAAGAATTGGAATTTAAATGTCTTTTTTTTTCCCCCTCCTGTTCATTTCTAAAGTAGTTAGCTTGAAAAACAATTGGCTTTCCAGAGCTGGGCCCTGACTGTGGATATACTAGATTAGAAAACAAAACACAAGGAGGTATGACTTATGCTCAAGCTACTGCTGTGGTTTCCATTGGATTTTTTTTGAGCTCCTAGTCCTAGGCCTTGACAAACAAAAGGAAGCCTTCTTGCCACAAGCTTCTTTTCTGTTGGGGTTAGATGCCAGAGACAAGAAGACACTGAAGAAGCCTCAATAGCCTTATGGAGGAAATTAAATGTGAACTAGCAATGCCCTGGTGGCTAATCTGGGAGACTGAAATCTGAGGATCTCATTTCACAGCCAGCCCATGTAGGAAAGTCCATGAGACTCTTACCTTCAGTTAGCCAGCAAAAAGCTGGAAGTGGAGGTATGGCTCAAGTAGAAAAGTGCCAGCTTTGAGTGACTAAAGCTAAGCTAGAACTAGAGGCCCTAAATTTAAGACCCAGTACTGACAAAAAAGAAAACAAATACATCTCTAAGAGGTTGAGATCTGAGGTGTATGGTTTGAAGCCAGGTTGGACAGAAAAGTCCATGATAATTTTATCTCCAATTAACCACTCCAAAACTGGAAGTGAGGTTGTGGCTCAAAGTGGTAGAGCACTAACCTTGAGCACATAAACTCAAGGACAGAGCCCTGAGTTCAAACCCCATGATAAAAAAAAAAAATCTCTGGATGACTTCAATGGCCCAATGCACTGGTGGACTGGACGTTCATGCCTGTAATCCTAGGTATTCAGGAGGCTGGGATCTGAAGATTGCGGTTCGAAGCCAGCCCAGGCAGGAAAGTCCATGAGACTCTTACCTCTAATTAACCACCAGAAAACCGGAAGTGGCACTGTGGCTCATGTGGGAGAGCATTAGCCTTGAGCTGAAGAGCTGAGGGACAGCACCCAGGCCCAGAGATCAAGCCCTATGACCGACCAAAAAAAAAAAGTTCACATCTTCTAGTTGACTGAGTTCCATGCCACCTGGCATGTATCTTCTGGCCTCTGTCTTATTAAATCACCAATAATCCAAAACAAAGTGTGGTGGGGGTGGGGGGGTCTATACCCTGTCAACCTTGTCTAATACCAACCATCTTCCCAAGACCCTACTTTTCCCTCCCTCCCTCCCTTCCTTCCTTACTTCATTTTGTCTGCTAGTTCTAAGGCTTGAACTAAAGCCCTCGTGTTCTCATTTTATATTTTGCTCAAGGTAGGTGCTCTACCACTTGAGCCATACCTCCATTTCCAGCATTTTACTGGTGAAGTGGAGAGAAGTCCCACTGACTTTTCTACCTGGGCTGGCTTCAAACCATGATTTCAGATTTCAGCCTCCTGAGTACTTAGGATTACAGGTATGAACTACCAGCATCAAATAAAGACCACACTTCAGAACAGGGTTGAATTACCCTCTTAGTATCTCACAGTCAAGAATAAATTTCAATCTATTGTCCATGGGAGACACTGAAATCATGGCTCCATTGGTTCACACCTGTAATCTTAATTACTTGTGAGGCTCAGATCTGAGGATCAAGGTTCATAGCCAGCCCAGGCAGGAAAGTCTGTGAGACTATTTATTTTATTTATTTATTTATTTATTTATGGCCAGTCCTGGGGCTTGAACTCAGGGCGTAGGCACTGTCCCTGAACTTCTTTTGCTCAAAGCTAACATTCCAACATTTGAGCCACCGTATGGCTTTTTCCACTCAAAGCTAACACTCTACCACTCAAACCACAGCTCCACTACAGCGTCACTTCTGGCTTTTTCTGTGTATGTGGTACTGAGGAATCAAACCCAGGGCTTCATGCATGCTAGGCAAGCACTCTACCACTGAGCCACCTTCCCAGCCCAAGACTCTTATCTCTAATTAAGCACCAAAAAGCAGAAAGTGGAGGTGTGGCTCAAGTGGTAGAGTGCTAGCCCTGAGCAAAAAAAGCTCAGGGAGCCGGGTACGGTGGCTCACCTCTGTAATCCTAGCTACTCAGGAGGCTGAGATCTGAGGATCACTGTTCAAAGCCAGCCCGGGCTAGAAAGTCTGTGAGACTCTTATCTCCAATAGACCACTAGAAAACTGGAAGTGGGTGCTGTGGCTCAAGTGGTAGAGTGCTCGCCTTGAGCTGAAGAGCGCAGGGACAGTGCCCAGGCCCAGAGTACAAGCCCCACTACCGACCAAAAAAAAAAAAAAGAAATTCAGGAATAGCATCCAGGCCCTGAGTTCAAGTCCCAGGACCAGCAAACACATGCACACACGTGCACACACACACACACATACACACAAAGCTGGAAACAGAAGTGGCTAAAGTAGTAGAGCTCTAGCCTTGAGGAAATGAAGCTCAGGGAAAGTGCTCAGACCTGAGTTCAAGTCCGAGGACCAGCACCAAAAAATTAATTAATTAATTGAATAAATAGAAGTAAGTTTAGCTGTCTCCAAGAAATTGAAATATTTAGATGATGAAGTTTGCAAAATATCTAAGCCTGTCTAAGTAAGACTGGAATATTTAAAACTTCTGATATTTTATATTACACTTGACTTAGTAAACTATTGCTCCCCCATCATTCCTGTCAGGCTTGTTCAAGGATCCATGATGCTCTGCTGACTCCACACAGCATGCTCATCTGTCTAATTCTGTCATAAGCTTCAAAGACTGACTAGCAGGAAATACAACTCTATTGTATTGTTCGGTATTAAATTACAGCCCCAATCCCACACGTCTGCAAGCAAACCTGACTGTCTTGCTCAGAGTGATTGCTACATTCCTGCTTTGCCAATCAGTATTCTCTGGCCATTTGTTCATTTGTTTTATCTGCTGATAGTAGCTGACAAATGACTGCATCCACACTGTATCCACTGAAAAGAATAGATGGGAGTAAAGCTTAATAAATTTACAAAATTCTTTTTTTGTTGTCATTTGTTAACTTAGTGAGTTTCCTAAATTTTAGGAAGGTTTGTTTATTCTTACTCTGATTTGGAGCGGTTTACTGTTTTTTTTTGTTTTGTTGAGAGCTGGTCCTGGGGTTTGAACTCTGGACCTGAGTTTTTTTATGGGGGGGGTCCGGTTGTGGGGCCTGAACTCTGGGTCTGGGCGCTGTCTTTCAGCTCTTCAGCTCAAGGCTAGTGCTCTACCACTTGAGCCACAGCGCCACTTCCGGCTTTTTTCTTTTTGCTTATGTGGTGCTGAGGAATCGAACCCAGGGCCTCAGGCATGCAAGGCAAGCGCTCTACTACTGAGCCACCTTCCCAGCCCCTGGACCTGAGCTCTTTTTGCCCAAGGCTAACGCTCTATCACTGGAACCACAGCTCTACTTCTGCTGTTTTCTGTGATTAATTGGAGATAAGAATCTCACAGACTTTCTTTCCTGGACTGGCTTTGAACTGTGATCCTCAGATCTCAGATTCCTGAGTAGCTAGGATTATAGGCGTGAGCCTATAGAGCGCCTGGCTCTGGTTTCTTGGTTTTGTATCTCATCTTTATCTGGGGAAACAAGTAGATGTGAGAACCTCTGGGTCTAAAGTGAAGGTGAGGTCCTGAGACCTCCACTGGATCCTGAGACTATCACAGTTTGCTCAGAGACTTGTTTTTCTTCTTTTTTTGGCCCTGGTACTGGGGCTTAATGTCAGATCCTCATGATCTCATTTGGTTTTTTTCCACTCAAAGCTGGCACTCTACCACTCAAACCACAGCTCCACTACAAACTTTTTTGGTGGTTAATTGGAGATAAATGTCTCATGGACTTTCTTGCCCAGGCAAGAATCTGGATCCTTGGATATCATCCTCCTGAGTAGCTAGGATTAAAGGCATGAGCCACTGGCACCAGACTAGCCTGGAACTCTTGATCCTCATTCCTCAGACTTGGAATGCTGGGACATTTCCCAGGCTTTAAACAGTCCCATCTTTTGCTCTAAAATACCTTTTTTTTTTTCTTGATTCTTAGGAGAACGTGGCAGGAGATCAGTACCTGCGTTAGATTTATTCTTCCCCTCTGTGTTGCAGACAGTATAACAAATTGCGAAACCTACTGAAGGATGCACGCCATGATTGCATTTTGTTCGCTAATGAATTCCAGCAGCACTGCTATCTTCCTCGGGAAGGAGGGGAGCCCATGGAGAAGTGGCAGACCAGGTAGGCCCCGGGGGACCCCTTCCACAGTTCCTTATTGTTGGCTCTCTACCAGTGGATCTAGATTATTCTACAACTATAATTAATACTAAAGGGTTTAATGTGTCAGTACACATGTGTTCGTGTGTACGTATTGTGCCAGCGGGGAGCTCACTGTGCTTTGCCTCTCAGGAGCATCTACAACGCGGCTGTCTGGTACTATCACCACTGCCAGGACAGGATGCCGGTCGTTATGGTGACGGAAGATGAAGAGGCCATTCAGCAGTACGGAAGTGAAACAGAAGGAGTGTTTGTGATTTCTTTCAAGGTATTTCTTATCACTTGTGGTTATGAATGTGTGTGTATGTGTGCACATGTGTACGCATGTGTGCAAGCACTGGCTCATTCATTTTGTGAGGAGAGCTTAAAACACGGATCCCTTTGGCAACACATGAAAGAGGAAATAAAGACAGAAGGAGAGGGAGCTGGGAAGGTGGCTCAGTGGTAGAGCGCTTGCCTTGCATGCCTGAGGCCCTGGGTTCGATTCCTCAGCACCACATAAGCAAAAAGAAAAAAGCTGGAAGTGGCGCTGTGGCTCAAGTGGTAGAGCACTAGCCTTGAGCTGAGGGACAGTGCTCAGGCCCAGAGTTCAGGCCCTATTAAGATGGTCCTTATCTTTTTTACTAACCAGCCAGTTAACCTCACCTTAGCTCCTGTGCCTAAGGCAGGCAGTATCCAAGAGCAGCCTAATAAGCTAAATTGTTTCAGAAGTGTTGCTGATTACAACTGTAGGCAGTACAGAGACATAGAGAGATGGAGGGGAAACCAGGGGTCCCAAGCTCACCTGTACTTGGGCCCCAAGTCCCCACAAGACAGCATATTTGAGTTTACATAGGGAAGGTTACTATGAATACATACAAAAATTTATATTAATATTACAATCAGAGCTAAAACATTTTGTGACAGACATTGGTTCCTTTATTTATTTATTTATTTGTCTATTTATACCAGTCCTGGGGCTTGAACTCAGGGCCTAGGCACTGTCCCTGAACTGCTTTTGCTCAAAGCTAGTACTCCACCACTGTGCCACTTCCAGTCTTTTCTATTTATGTGGTACTGAAGAATCGAACCCAGGGCTTCATGCATGCTAGGCAAACACTCTACCACTAAGCCACATTCCCAGCCCCCCCCTCCCCCTTATTTTTTTTTTGAGACAGGAGACTACAGCCTAGGGAAAGCCCAGACATGATGCCCACTTATCTATCCCAAGGTTAAACTGTCAAGGTCTTTCATCCAGCCTACAAGGTCCCCAGCACAGCAGCTAGCCTAAGGAAAGGGGTGAATAGCAATCTAGTCTTTTCACCCTCTCCAGAGCTGTCTGTTTGAACCCTTCCATGGCCAGCTCTAAGCATTTCAAGTGCTGTGCAGGCCATGTTCCAACTTCTCAAACCTTTTCAGGTTCCCCAGCTCAGCTTCAGAGGTATTGTTTTGTTTTTTTTTTTTGGTCGGGTCGTGGAGCCTGAACTCTGGGCCTGGGCTCTGTCCCTCAGTTCTTCAGCTCAAGGCTAGCGCTCTACCACTTGAGCCACAGCACCACTTCCGGCTTTTTTCTTTTTGCTTATGTGGTGCTGAGGAATTGAACCCAGGGCCTCAGGCATGCAGGGCAAGCACTCTACCACTGAGCCACCTTCCCAGCCCCTTCAGAGGTAATTTCATAGAGGTTTTTTGTTTGTTTGTTTTTTTGGCCAGTCATGGGGCTTGAACTCTGGTCCTGGGCACTGTCCCTCAGCTCTTCAGCTCAAGGCTAGTGCTCTACCACTTGAGCCACAGCGCCACTTCCTGTTTTCTAATGGCTAATTGGAGCTAAGAGTCTCACAGACTTTCCTTCCCTGGCTGGATCCTCACATCCCAGTCTCCTGAGTAGCTAGTATTATACCAGTGCCTGGCTGTCCCTGACTTTTTTTGCTCAGGGCTAGCACTCTACCTCTTGGGCCATAGCTTCATTTTGGCTTTATTGGTAATTCATTGGAGATAAGAGTCTCATGGACATTCCTGCTCAGGCTGGCTTCAAATTGTGACTCTCAGATCTCAGCCTCCTGAGTAGCTAGAATTATAGGCCTAAGTCGTCAGCGCCTGGCTTTAGTGCCAGATTCTTCAGGCTGTCATAGCAACCTGGCTGTGCTGTCCATCTGCCTAGATGACTTTGAATCTCTCAATAGTTATCTGGTCTCAACTGGTCTGTCCAGCTGGTCAATCCCATTCTACTGATTGATTTCATTTTCTGATGCCGAAATCAAGGTGAGGCCTTCTGTAGCTCCGGTCACTTTACAGAAAGTCTCGCTGGATTTTGAATTGTAAATGCTCTAAGGATTCTCCTGTGCATGTGTTACTAAAGACCTGCCAATAGAATTTTCTTGGCTCTGCTCTTTAAAATCTAAAAAAAAAAAATAGAAAAGAAAAGAAGTGTTCTGGCATGCCAGAGAATTCCAGGGGCGCTGGAAATTAATGACAGTGTCACTAGGTTTTTCTTTTGCAATACATCTTGTCTTGTTCCTGCAGAGGACAGTTGACTAAAATTACATTTTTCTACTTTTGGTGAAAATGACTTTTCTTTGTAATCCAGTAGTATAGGAAGGTTTTATTTTGTATAGTGTTTCTTTAGCAAACGGTATGACCAAGGGCCCCATCAAAATGGAAGCAGGAAGCAAAAAAAAAAACAAAAAAAAAGATGTGAAGTTTAGATGGGGGTTTGTAAAGTTAGATAGAGGAGAGCAAAGACACTAACCGGTTCATGCCAGTAATCCTAGCTACTCTAAAGACTGAAATTCGAGGATCATGGTTCAAAGCCAGCCTGAGCAGAAATGTCTGTGAGACTCTTATTTCTAATTAACCTTCAGAAAGCTGGAAATGGAGCTGTGGCTCAAGTGATAGAGCATCAACCTTTAGCCAAAAAACTAAACAGGATCGCAGCTTCATGTTGGTGGCTCAGGCCTGTAATCCTGGCTATGCAGGAGGCTGAGATCTGAGGATCATGGTTCAAAGCCAGCCTGGGCAACAAAGTCCATGAGACTCTTATCTCCAATTAAACACCAGAAAACCAGAAGTGGCGCTGTAGTTCAAGTTGTAGAGCGCTCACCTTGAGCTGAAGAGCTCAAGGACAGCACCCAGGCCCAGAGATCAAGCCCCATGACCAAAAAAGAAAATAAAGTGCTGAGAACCTGGCAGTGGATCATGAGCCTGCTCACAGACTGATGAGCTACCATAGTGGGTGTGAGAGGAGACTCAGCAACACACAGATAAGGAAGCACTCAGCTGGCAACAGTTCTGTGGTCCTGCAATGATGGAGAATTTCTGTCTTTCAACTGTGTCTCTCCTTTATGAAATGCAGAATTACCTGGATAATTTTTGGCCTGATTTAAAAGCTGCCCATGAGCTCTGTGACTCCATCCTTCAATCCCGCCGGGAGAAGGAGAGTGAGAATCAGGAGAGCCATGGAAAGGAGTACCCTGAACATCTTCCTGCCGAGGTCTTGGAAGCAGGGGTCAAATCAGGATGCTATGTCCAGGTGAGGATGACTTGAGTCATTCAGAACCAGGCAGTGTTCATCTTCTGCCTCTCCTCCTTTCCCTATCCTTCTTTCCTCTTCTCCCCTCTTCTACCTCTTTCCGTGCCCTCCTCTCCCTGTTGGCCTCTGAGTTGATACCATAAGGCTATGCATAGGGTGAATGAACCTGTCCAGGCTTAAGGTGACTTGGTAGCCACCTTTTATAGCCCTTGGCAGTGGATTTGAAGATGCCACACTGAAGTCCTTGCTCAAAGGGTATTTTATTTTATTACCTTTCTTTGTGTGTGTACGCCAGCTCTGGGGTTTAAACTCAGATCTTGGACACTGTCCCTGAGCTTTTGTACTCAAGGCTAGTGCTCCACCACTTGAGCCGTCAGTCTACTTCTGGCTTTTTTGGTACTCAATTGGAGATAAGAGTCTCAAGACTTTTCTACCCAGGCTGGCTTCAAACCCTGATCCTCAGATCTCAGCTTTCTTAATAACAAGGGTTGCAGGTGTGAGACAACCCAGATGATCTTGTGATTTATACTCAAGGCCAGTGCTCTACCACTTGAGCCACAGCTCCACTGGTACTTTTTGCTCGTTAATTAGAAATAGGAATCTCATGGACTTGAGTTGTACCAAGGGGTTTCATTGTGACATTTCCAAATATGCATGTGATCTATGTGGGATAGCTCTACCCTTTTGTTATCCTTTCTCAAACTCCTTCCTCCTCCCCTGTCTTTAAAACAGTTTTTTGTAAGAGTCATTATAAAAGTACATACACAAATGTGTGTTCACAAATGTCTGTTCCCCTCTGTTTTTCTACTCCACCTGCTTGGTTTCTCCTACCAAAAACACTGATTTTTTTTAAATTATGATTTTAGGGAATTCTGAACGTGAATAAACATAGAGCACAAATAGAAGCTTTTGTTCGACTTCAAGGAGCCAGCTGTAAAGATTCAGGTTCAGTATAAACCATATTTGAATTAAAGATTCAGGTTCAGTATAAGCCATATTTAAATGTCCACACCACTTATCTGTTCTATTGTTACACAGTGAAAGGATAAAGGTGACATAGTCCTACCATGCATGCCATGCATGTGTCCCCATAGGCACGTGCATTTGTGGGGCACAAGGTGCTTTCCCTACGTTTTAGTATATATATTTGTGTGTGTGTGTGTGTGTCAGTCGTGGGGTCTGAACTTGGCCTGGGCGCTGTCCTTCAGCTCTTCAGCTCAAGGCTAGCACTCTACCATTTGAGCCGCAGAACCACTTCTGGCTGTTTCTGCTTATGTGGTGCTAAGGAGTCGAACCCAGGGCCTCATGCATACAATGCAAGCACTCTACCACTGAGCCACCTTCCCAGCCCCTAGTCTATAATTTTGATTTCATTTTATTTTACTTTTTCTTTTTGGATTGATTGATTGATTGATTGATTGATTGATTTTTGGTCAGACATGGGGCTAGAACTCAGGGCATAGGTGCTGTCCCTGAGCGTTTTTTTGTTCAAGGCTAACACTCTACTACTTTGAACCTCAACACCGCTTCCAGTTTTCTGGTGGTTAATTGGAGATAATAGTCTCATAGACTTTCCTGCCCAGGCTGTCTTTGAACCACAATCCTCTCATCTCAGTTTTCTGGGTAGCTAGGATTACAGGTGTGAGCCACCAGCTCCTGGCTTTTACTTTACTTTTTAAAAATTGGAAAATTAACATTTGGGCTCAAGAATGTGACTTAGTGGTAGAGTGCTTGTATAGAATGCAGGAAGCCCTGGGTTCGATTCCTCAGGACCACATACATAGAAAAAGCAAAAGAAGCTCAGGGTCAGTCCCTAGGCCATGAGTTCAAGCCCTAGGACTGACCAAAAAAAAAAAGAAGAAGAGAAAAGAAAAATTAACATTTAAGCCTGAGACCCATATCTCCAATCAACCAGGAAAAAAAAAGCTGGAAGTGGCGCTGTGGCTCAAGTGGTAGAGCGCTAGCCTTGAGCTGAAGAGCTGAGGGACAGCGCCCAGGCCCAGAGTTCAG